CCTGATGCAGAAAGCAGTTCTTCTCGGTACGGCACGTATTGTGAGGAAGTTTCTGTCTCCAGAGTCCTAACCACCGTTATCTTGGTCCCTGTACCCAATACCGATGGGACACTATTTTTTATTTTTAAATGTCTCTTTTTGTACATAAATATGTTTAAAAATTTAATTTATATGTATATTTAATGTAATAAAGATAATAATAATAATATATCGCATACATGAGAGTGTCATCCCATGGGTGTCGTAAAGGAGCAAACTACACAGGACAACAGCACTGTAAAGAGAAGGAAAACTTGAAACAAACCCTATACCAAGCCGTCTGGCCAGAGTGATATAGTAGGCCAAAACCACCTTTCTAAGGAGAGGCCTATGTCCACAAGTGGAATAGTAAAGGCTGTTGATGATGATTGATGATGATGATCCTTTACTTTAAGTGTTAAGTTTTCAAAAGATTTGTATTAATGATAATTTCAAAATAATAAACCATCTAATTTTAATACAAAATGATTTTTTCTAACTGTAGGCCTCTATCCTAGAAACCACCTTTGAAAGATGGGTATATAAATTTTGAAATATTGATATAAATAAATAGGTACATATGCATGGATTTTCTAATATTAATGTATTAATTGTATTTTTGTGTGTTTTAAATAAAAAATAAAAGTTAAAATAAAATTTAATTAATAAAATAATAAAATAAATAAGTTAAAATAAAATAAAACTAAGTTAAAATAAAATTTAATTTTTAATTTGGGTATACCCAGCTTTCGGCACACAGTGTTAGCAGGGTAAATAAAAAAAATGACTAAAAAACACTGCTTTATGTATAATATGTACAAAAATCATCAGCCATCATACGTTTGTGAAATAACATTGTTCGATCATCGCGTGATTTCGAGTCGTCTATCAAAGAAACGAGTTTAAGAATATTCACTCGCTGTCAACTATGTATGTAATCTTGTGATTACAGTAATGCTTACATATTGCAGACGTCAAAGTAAGGCTTGTACCAAACACATATCACGATCTTTATAGCGCGTTGCAGAGCTTAAAGAACTACAGGATGCTTATTAAACTGTCGTAACGCCTTTGTCTTGTTTTTGTAAGTGACAGGATGTGGTTTTAAATAGCCATTTGAAATCTTATACAGCTGATTTTTGAAACTCATCACAATTCATTTGCATTTATCTTGTCCAAATAAAGAAACCTTACCGCTGCATAGTGTTACATAAATAAAATACGTAAATACCTTATTTTTATATTTTATTTTTTAAAGACAACTCCCGCGTTAGGAATATATCCTGTGTCGCGGGGGAATTTACAAACATACATAAAACGTACACAAAGAATACCCATATTCAGAACAACAATTTGTGGATCACACAAAGTGTCGTTTCATGTGGGGGTCGGAACCACAACACTCAGCGTTACAGTAAGCGGCGTGGCGACCGCTTAAACCACTACACTATCTGTACAGTCTTTCTACCTTAATGAGAGATCAGAGCATCTCTATTCTATTCTACTGCCATGTTATTCATTAAAAGTGGTCAATTTATATTTAAAATTTAAAAAAACAAACACGAATAAAATTACAAATACTTGGAAAAATTAGACCCATTTCCAATTTGATCTTGCATTTAAATTGTATTAAATTTCAAGGCATTGAATCTAAACGCACAATTTTTTTAAAGTTTAGGTGGTTTAAGCGGTCACCTGCCGCTCCTCGTGAGTCTTGCGAGGAGACAACTTAAGTGATCCACAAATTTTTTGAGTGAGCTTTAGTTATCGGGAAAATCCTCATAACATAAAACCAAAAAACAGTATCGGGAAAAGGTCTACCCTAGAAAGGAAATCCCTGGTGTTGTAACGACCTCGCGACACAGAATATATTCTTTGGTAGTTATTTATTTTTACAAACGAGAAAATTAAGCATACTAAAATACCATGTACCCCACACACCTGCAACCAATAGTCATAAATGCTTTGCCTCGGGCTCTACCAAAATTTTTAAAGTTAGGTAGATCAACACACACAAAAGCAACAATCTACGTTTTGTCAAATAGTAACCAAATAAATTTAAAAAAATCAAACCCATACAAAATCTATGATATGCCTGTGCCGATCTACAACCGCCCGTTTCCAAGGGGTTGAGCCTTATGAGAAGAAAGGGCAAACAAATCATGGCCACTCTTTTGCAATTCACAGATAGATACAATGGCACTATTAAATATACCACAACATTGTTTTGATGTGTGCTAGTATATCCGTTATTAAGGACTAAAAGGTGAAAAGACAATGAAGAGAAAACAAGATTAAGAAGAAAAAAACGAATACAAGAGAAAATGAAGTGAAATATAAAAAATAGAAAAAATAATAATAATAAAAAACATACTAGCCACACCACACCTTAATGAGAGATGCTCTGGTTCTATTCTACTGCCATGTTATTCATTAAAAGCGGTCAAGTTCTATATTTTACAACCTAATTATTATAACAAACACGAATAAAATTAACAAAATACTAGAAAAATGAAGACCATCGTCACTATAATTGTCTTGCACTTCTTCTAATTGTATTAAGTGTACAAGGTGTCTGAGGAACATCTAAGACGCAAAAGTTTTTTTAAAGTTTAGGTGGTTTAAGCGGTCACCCTGCCGCTTCCCACTGCGTTGAGTGTTGGGACCACAAGGGACAACTGGGTTGAGTGTTATTTGTGTCCGTTTCATTCATGTTTGTAAAGACCCCGCGACACTGAATATATTCCAAGTGTGGGAGTTTTTATTTTCATAACGAGGAAAATGAGCAGGCTACTATCGCCCATACACACCTGCAACTCAATGGTCATGAATGCGTTATCGCCCTTCGAGGCTTCCCCCAGAAATTTTGAGGGGAGTTTAGGTTCGGGTACATAACGCACTCTGTGAAAAGCCACGATAGAATTGATTAACACGGGTATGCTTTTAGGCCGTGGTATCACTCTAGTCGAGCTGGCCCATTTCAGTCTAGTCTGATGTTTGGATCCACAATTATAAATAGGGACCTCAAGCTTTTTACAATGTTTGCCAATACGCGTGGCTAAGGTTAAGACTTAGGCTCAACTGAAATCGACTTTTAAGGAAGTTTAACGTGACATATTTTCGACTTGCACAGCATTTAATTTTTTAAATAACTATTTGTATTGTATATCACTTGATTTGATAATTTGATAGGGTTCAATTTCAATTTAAAGATAGTTTAATAGTTATGTTTTTCATTTTATACTTATATGGTTATTTTCAGCCAATTTTTCACGATTTTTTCATCGAAATTAAATACGCACACCATACAATATACACGTTTGTTAATTAAATTTATTGATGTTTCCAGATTTGCAATAGGTGTACATGTCCATGATCCACAAAGACACCAATAATCCATTTTCATATCTGTATCCGTAAAATCACAAAAAAAACCCGCACATCACTAAATTGACGAAATTTAAAATATCACACACCGTCTCCCTTTATCACTAAAACGGACAACAAATAACAAAAATAGATTGAAACATGAAATAAATGATGCCACAAAGGACTGATAACAATTTATTTATTTGTTGAGTAAATGCACAGCAAAAGACAATATATGCAATAGTAACAATAAACGCAATCGAAGTATAACCGCGGCCAAGGCCCACCACAAAGTGACCCTACAGAATACCAACCAGTCTAAGGTGGAACTTAAAACCCTACATACGTTTTTAATAATCTTAAATAAGCAGAATTATATGCTTTTCAATTAACATTTAAAATAACAATTGTTTAAAAAATAATTACTTAACAGTCAAATCGAAACAGCAACTTGTGACTTTTGGCTTTTCAAGTGACCCGTCTGCCCGTTTGAACACTATTCCATTAAAAAATAAGTCGCGGCTTTGCCATACCATCATAGAACCATTCCTTACTTATTTACAACGAATGGGCACTTAAAATTTAAATTTTGAATAACTATCTCACCAGAATACCAATTCATATTTACAAAAAACTACGAATTTAAAATAAGGGATATTCTAAAAATAGTTCTACCTGGAAATCACGTATAAAATCACATAAATTAGTCAGCATCCAAAGACAATAGATTCGGTCATATCGTACTTTATACAGCCGCAGGAAAACCTGTTTCTGAAGCACTTTCACCGTCTACATTCACAATTTCAACACTCCTCGCAATTACGTAGGTTTAAGAAACATCAATTTAAATGATAATCTATACAAAAATCGAGTTGGTCACCTTTAAAATATCAATAAAACCTTATTAGAAAATCGTATTCGTATCTACGACAAAATTTAGGATTCCAAGGATGCAACTGTGATAACTTTAAAACTATAATGAGATGATGACCATGCATAGATGGGCCCATCTTTATCGGAAGGTCGTTCTGATCGTAAATTAACATATATGTTTATTTATTTATTGTGGCATCTGCGTCCAATCGTACTTGAACCACATAAAAGACTCTAAAATATAATTCTTGACGCTTTCATTGATTTATGCATAATATCTGCATTTGATATTTCTACTGTGTAATTACCTCCTTTTAAAATGAAATGAGCTTGTTTTAAAAGCATGGTAGCTTAATATATTCATGTCACGTTTGTATTTTATTTTAGCTTTAAATGTTATGGTTCCTTCAACGTGCTATACTCCGAATGACACGCATTTTAAATAAACACTGTCCATCACTTATTGTTATGAAAAAACCACTTTGCATATTACTTCACTGATTTAGTAATCCTTCAAGCTTTTAAAGTTTCGCAATGATATCGGTCGATTACTCCGTTCCGATGTTTTATATATTGGCAATAAAACGAAGAAGTAATTTACTATAACATAAATTGTTTATTTAACAAAATTATTCAGGATCATATCACAGATCGTTTAGAGATTGGAATATTAACAAGGTAGGGGAAAGGAAATAAGGATGAGTATTTTTTGGACTAGATGTTGGGTTAGTGGGATGGCCTTAAGCGGGGATGTGAGAGCCCTGGGGTTGGAATCCATTCTCGTCAGCGATGTAGTTGATGAGATAGACAACACCATCAGGGCCGGTGTAAGAGAACTGGCCACGAACTGCGTAGATCTCGTTTTCAGTACCAGCGTTTCGCAACTGACCTTCTTCTTGCTGAGCGATGCCGTTGGAGGTCTCCACACTGTAAGTAGAAATAATTTATCAACATTGCATCCAAAATGAAAAAAAACTTTTTGAAGATTTCTCAATATTTGACATGATCAGAATAATAAGGTGTAATGTGCATCTTACGCATATGTGTGGCCATCGATTTTGTTGTCGCTCTCGTAACGGAGGATCTGAGCATCAGCATCAGGGCCAGCGGGAGCAGCAACCGCGGCAGCGACGAAGAGAGCGAAAACGATGAACTATTGGATTAGACATAGGAAGATATTAATTAAGGAAAGAAACGATGTGAAGGCTTGCACAATATTGTATTATATATCACAGATTTTAAAGTTGTTATTAGCAAATCACTGTTAACGTACCAATTTCATTTTTGATGAGTTTTTTTTTGGTTGTCTTGGGACTGTGTGATTGAGAGGCAATCGAGCGACTGATGCCTGTGTCTCGTCGGGCTCTCCATTTATAGCGCTAGGCGCATCGTTGCACAGCAAGGACGCGGTTTGACATTTGAACTTAGAAGCATCTTCGGCCACAGGCATTCGTACTAAGTAAAGGTTCTTTGTGACATGTCCGGTTTGGTGTCGATGGTGCCATAGATATATCTCTTACGACCTACATTATTATTATGGTTTATAACTCATGTATTATCGATCTAATATGGTTACTAGTCAATTTAGATGAGAAGAATATTTATTACATTAGACAGTAGGAGTGATTGTACATTGTGCTTTTAAATTTTGTGCAGATGTTTTTTTTTGTTTTGTTGCTTACGATAACTTTACCCTCCTTTACTTTTCTTTAATTGTATTTAGAACGGTTTTAATTATAGCTATGAATAAAATTCAATTGTTTTACATTCTGTGTATTATTTTGATTTTAATATTACAAATATTTTACTAATTTTATAAGTTTTTACTATAAATACTAAATTATTTCCGTTCGTTATGTTGTGTTATGTCCGTTATTATGTACGTAAATCCATTATTAATAATAAAAAAGTTTTAACACAGTTTTTTTTTGTTACCGATTTGTATGGTTTTTAATACTTGGCCATGATAAAGAATTACTTGTTTAATTAAGTTAGGAATGAGAAAACTTGGCATATTTGGGGATGAAAAACTGATTTTCTCATGGTACTTGGGACCTTAATATTATTTTGAACTTGATAAAGGAATAAAGGTATATAAACAGTAGAGAAACACAATTGTTTTAATTTGGTGAGTAATTTTACAATCTTTCCCAATATGTCGTATTCATACAAGGAAAAATAATTATATTATTCCTTATATGAATTGTTTCTAAGAATCACACACTTACTAATTTTAGTCAGTATTTTCATTCGCAAGTTTTTTTCTTCCTGTTCTGTACGATTGGTAATGTGTTTGCAACGTTGCATAAAGATTAATTAAGTAATCAAACAGTTAAATAATACCAAATTTCAAGTGAACTCACATGCGGAATGTAAGGAAATAATAGAAAATAGAAATGATGTTTTATACCAATTTAATTACAAAATAAAAGTATACATGTGTATATAGTGTTAAGCTATAAAAATTATTGTAATTATACGCAATATAGACACAAAAACAATTTCTATATAGATATATATTTATATAGTATACAACAGAAAGTGCTACGTTAGAGTATAGTAGCAGTAGCTACTTCCTCAAGCATTAAAGGCCTCAATTCTGCTATTTTATGTTAACGCCAAGCCACTGTCATTCCATTGACACGCTATTGAGACGCCATTGAAACGCCATTGACATCAGTCAAAATATCAATATTCTACTAACATCCATTCGGTGTCAATAGACTGTGGATATAGTAATATAGGTCATCAATGGTGATATCAACAAAATTTCTATACCTGGAAAATAAAATATATTTTTTTTTACAAATTTAAAATGCACCGTTTACCAAAGACATCGATGACATTTGTATCAGTGACAAGTCATCGGGAGGCCATTGGGTTACATAGTTAGTAGAATAGAAAAAGTGCAGTGCTGTGCATGACAGGGTCCACAATGATACATGTGTTTTGGTTTATTGTGGAATATTAAATTTCCACTTAGTGTTATGCACAAATATAATTATACATATATGCCATCTATGTTTCAAGTTTTCCTTCTCTTTGCTGTTGTCCTGCGTATTTTTCTCCCTTAGTCGGCTCTTACGACACCCACGGCATGAATAGATGTGGTGACACTCTGTATTCTTAATCCGTCACCGGACACGGTCTGTAAACGTAAACATAGTAAATAAAACCTTCACAGAAAGACAGTTCAGATGGATTCTCCACGTTCTTTCGGTACTTAGAGTGTAAATTAAATTGCAGTTCAAAAGTATTCGTTGATTGATTGATTGACGGACAAGCTACCAGTGTTTTGTGACCTTTACTGTATATATAATTCATATTAATCATACATATGACTACTTAATAATCTATGTAATATACCACATATGTATTTACATAGTTTAGTACTAGGAATAGGCAGTACATTGGTTTAAAATACACAATATCTGTATGTGTTTTTTATTTATTGGTAGTAATTACAAGTTATAATAAATGTTAAAAGCTGCTAAGCCGAAGATCATGATGTCGATTCCCTTCCAGTTCAAATAATTGTGTTATGAACACGATCATTTGCTTTATGTCTGGATATATTTTATCTATAATAAGTATGTATTTAGAACTGTTAAAGTATGCTTATCAGTGAATGTACTAAACAGACTTGGTTACAATAATCTGACCAAACTCTGCCTAATTTTGGATCTGGATTTAGATTATTATTATTATTATACACCTCCAACTACAGCACTCTCTTCTTATCTTGTTGATACCATCCTAAGGTTGCCTGGCGCTGTTTTTCCCAATAAGACAGCCCTATGTACATTATACAAGAAATTGACACAATGTTACACATGCAACAATGGTGTACAAATTAAGTGTTATCTATCTATCTCCTAGCTTTTGCCGGCGGCCCCGCGGTTATGTATGTTTTCGCTCACTCACTCACTTTCATAATATAAATATGGATTTATACAATTGATTTTGCTTCTTTTTTAGTTAAAAGTTTCTTCGTTTCATTGTAATTGATCTTACATCTCGCAAGTAAAGTCCTCACGCTATTTAATATGAACATAAGTAACCGTGAAGGTCTAAAATATCAGCAGTTAAAAGCTTTAAAACATAAAAACGAAACTTTCCATTCATTAAATATTTTAAGAAAAATCTATGTTTCTCTTAGTAGTCGTAAGGACGTGAGGGAGACATGATACAGCAGATACGGGTCGGTTCGACATGAGTGATGCCACGGTATTACAGGAACCTCTCCCAGTCAACTGTGGGGGGATTCAAAGGGTGCAAGGCATTTGTGTCTCTTACTTTACAGATGTTCATATGCGACGGTAGTCACTTAACATCAAATAAACCGTCTACTCGTTTTCCCCCTAAACAATAAAAAAAATACATGAAAAGTGTGTGGAAGAATTATCCACCTGGACATATTAACGTTATTTAAATTTATAGAAGAGTATTAAATACCAAAACCTCCTTTCTAAGGAGAGGCCCATGTCCAGCCGAGGACTGTTATAGGCGGTTGATGATGATTAAATATTTGGAACGATTGATGATTAAAGGAGTATAAACAGTAATTTGATACTTACGAGGCTGAGAGCTTCGCGGCCTTGAAGCTAATCAAATAGGTTTCCGTACTGTTTCAATCGTAAAGTTCATTAACACGACAATCGTGATGATATAACGATATTATCATAAATGTAGGATCAATTTATTGCACGGATGGCGTAGTGGTTTAAGCGGTCACCTCGCCGCTTCTTACTGTGCTGAGTGTTGTGAATTCGATTCTCACATGGCACAACACTTTGTGTAATCCTCAAATTGCTGTCTTGAGTCTGGGTGTTCTTTGTATCCCTTTCATGTATGTTTGCTAAGTCCCCCGCGATACATGATATTTTCCTAGTGCGGGAGTTAACTTGAAAAAAAATATTACCGACTTCAAATAGATTAGAGGTGTTTTACGTCATCACAATAATAACGTACTCCTTCCTAACAGGCCGGCAACGCGTTTGTGATTCCTGAGTTGCAGACGTTCATGGGCGACGATAGTCTCTTTCCATCAGGTGACTCGTCTGCTCGTCTGCCCCCTCTAATATAAAAAAAAAAAACATCGAATTTTGTAATAAAGCGTAATTAAAACTAATCGTTACTCCATTTCTGGCTCTACCCGTGGTACTTCCTCAACTTCGACTTTACAAAGGAAGAGCTTATAAATTCGGAAGTTTATATATTTTTTTATCTATGTTCAGGTATAACTCCGTCATATTGTATAGAAATCTTTTTTTGTTCGAGGGACTTCCTTTCTAGGGTATACCTGGTTCCCCGGCTATTAGTACCCGAGACGGCGTGCGGTTTTAGTCGGTTCGAGTCCGACATGCCACCGACAGGTGGTATCCGAGGGGGTTTCCGCACAGAAAAAAAAAAGGGGGTTTATTCTGAAATGGCCCTATTTAAATTATTTGTAGATCTGATGATGGAACTCTTTAACAAATGACAGCAAATCAACCGCGATTGCTGCTAAGTTTTTAGTGCTATTTGTTAGTATTGTTTGAAGTCGATTCAACTTTTTTTTTAAAGGATTTTTATTGCAAAACGATTACTTCCCAAGGACGGCCCATCACGGAATCAGGCCCGTTACACTTTCCGTCAAACCCAAACACAGTTGGGAATAAGGCATGAGATGATGATTCTCTGGAACTTTATTATTACAGACTTTGTAGTTCTATTTAACATGTTTTGTACTTTATTTTAAGACTACATTTAATTCTGCGCCGAAAAATGCATTACACGTCCGATTTTAATACACAAACATTATACACTACTTGTTTACATTAAACAATCTACTATATATAATATTCTCGTGTCACGGTGTGCGTGGTTGAACTCCTCCGAAACGGCTCGAAAGCTTTTCGTCAAATTTTGTGTGCATATCGGGTAGGTCTAAGAATCGGCCAACATCTATTTTTCATACCCATAATTATTATTTTTTTGACCAAAAAAATTGAAATAATGTACATGGCATAAAAACTTTTGCTGGGTCAGCTAGTATACTATATTATTCTGTTCGCGTTAAACAATTTGCAGTAACAAATAAAAATTTAAATAAAATACTCTCCAATTGTAACAAAATACTTGGGCATTTGCTTCTCTTTCTTCCCATGAACGAGAGATGTGTGATTTTCAGTCTGTTGGTGAAGTCCCATCACCACTTTCTGTCAAACCATCTCTTATTTAAAAAAAAATAATTCGTGTGTGGTTTAAAATTGTATGTAACAGTTGATGATTAATATCTGATTTAATATATTCATACCATCTTCATGATCAACCAAAAGAAGAATCTCAAAAAAGAGTAACTTAATAAGCACATATAAATTCTATCAGCGTTTGATTGCGTAACACCAAAATATGGGATTATCCAAATCGTGGCTATACATATTCATGACTGTATAGCTGTAAAGGAGT